TGCAGAGGATTTAAATTACTTTCTTGAAAAAAGCAAAAGTCCGTTTGTTACCTGCTTTGCCAATCTAAAATTTGACCTGTCAATTTGCTTATCCTGTTCTTAGTTTATCTTGGTCACTTATGAAATAAGTAACTCTCTGCTTAAATTATGGTTTTCTGTTTGTCCCAGCTTGTCCCCCAAAATAGCAAATTTATTAATTGGCTAAACAAATCTATGTTGACTGCCTACTATATGCGGTTATTGAACAGGGTACTGAGGATATAAAGATAAAGCATGGTCTCTCTCCTGAGGACTTTATTAGGGAGATAAATTAGAAAAGCAACTTGAAACAGTTGCTTAAACAGAGAGGAGTTTATTTGTCCCAAACAAAATAAATACAAAGGTAGGCAGTTCAGGTCTGCTGTGTCTTTCTCTTTCTTTTATTTTTCCGTGTGGCATATAGGCCTTCTCATGCATCTCTCCTTGTGGTGGAAAGAGGCTACCTCACCTCCAGGCAGGCTGGAGGAGAAATGGTTAAAGGACCAAAAAGGCTTTCTCCTTCTTAGGAGACTTTGCCTTTTTATTTCAGAAGGGACAGCCTTCTTAGGGACGTCCATGTATATCTCACTGGCCAGAAGCATTCATATGGTCACTTCTACCAGCAAGGGAAGCTGGAGATTAAGTTTTAGCTGTCAAGCCTCATTAGAAGGTTGTGGGAAAGGACTGTTAAATGAACCAATCTACAGTAACTGCCACAGCACACATGTGAATAACAATAAGCTACAAAATGGTATCAGAGGGGCACAGTTGAAAAGGGGGCAAGGCGACAATGAGATCAAGAAATCAGCTGGAGAAGTCTGTATGGAGATCTAACAGGAAATCCTGCAACTGGCACTTCCTTGAAGTTGCTACCCACAGCCCAGGTTCTGGCCTTTAACTGGCCCAAGAATTGACTAGACACATTGAGGCTGATTCTCACCAAACTCACCAGAGATTAAGTTATAATTTACTCTGCTAATTTATTCATTTGTAGTAGGGACTATTCCAGAGTTGAAAACTCAATTTCCTGTAGGAATCAGGCAAGTAATGTAAATATATGAATCAGCCAAGTGTAAAACAATAAAAGTGGTGGAAACGAGTTGTGAAGAAGAGAGAGAAAAAACTATTTAAAGGCTTTCAAACTGAAAGACAATTAAACACTGTGCAGATATTAAACCTATCTGCACTTCCTGATAAGACTTTTTGGCCCTAGTTTGTGAATTCTGGTCTATTCCTTTCTATTGACTAGAAAGTGTTCATGTTTCTTTTTTTTTTTTTAACATCTTTATTGGAGTATAATTGCTTTACAATGGTGTGTTAGTTTCTGCTTTACAACAAAATGAATCAGTTATACATATACATATGTTCCCATATCTCTTCCCTCTTGCGTCTCCCTCCCTCCCACCCTCCCTATAGTGTTCATGTTTCTGTCTCGAGAACCATCTCTCCTGATAAACTGTGTACCTAGAAAACCAGTAGAGGAGTCACAAGGCAGTCTGGTGGGCACGGAATCTGAGTATAAGGAGGCAGATAGTTTTAGAAACATCTATTCCAGGCCAGGGTGAGACTTGATGAATCATCCATTCCCCACAATATGCATACGTCTCTGGAAAGCCCCTGCCTTCCAGATTCAGGGTCTCTAAGAAATACCTCCCAGCGTTTTGCTTGCCGACGTTCCTTCTTCTATGCCTCCTGCCAACCCTGGGTTACTCAGTCCAAGCAGGATACAATATAATTGTTTCCATTTACTAAAATATAGTCCTGCTTCCAGAGGATACAACAAACTCACTTAGTTTGGAATTTGGACATTTCCACATTCTTGGTTACCCAGATAATAGATGGTCTCCTTGTGCAAATGTATCAGATCTAATCACACCCATTTTATTTAATCTTGAGGGTTAGTTTATAAGAGCTTGGAGGAGGTACCTCACTGTTGCCTTCCTGTGTCATAAACACAGATATAGGCCTATTGAAGCATTTTTAATTTAATGATAAAATTTTCTTATCTAATTTAGTAGATAACTATTTGGAGGCCTGAGATACTTGAAAAATAAAAAGGAAGAGGAAGTTATGAATGAATAAAAGAACACAGAGAATTTCTGTTAAAGGCCTAGTGTCAAAGTTCTCAACATGTCCTTGCCCCCAAACAGTCACTAAATCCTTTGATTTCTCCTTTGAAATATTTGTTGAAGCTATTCTTTTTTTTTTCTCTTTTTCATTTCCACTGCTATCAACTTACGCTAGGACTTTATTATTTCCTGTCTGGACTACTGCAGTAGTTCTTAGGAACTCAGAACCGAACATCCTTTTTTGTTCCAAGGCAATTCAAGGGAAAAATTAAAATGGTTAACTCCACTTCTTTTTTCAAATAAAAATAAAATCTCGGGACTTCCCTGGTGGTCCAGTGGTTAAGACTCTGCACTTCCACTGCAGGGGGCGCGGGCTGGACCCCTGGTCGGGGAATGAAGATCCCACATGCTGTGCAGTGCAGCCAAAAAATAATAAAAATTAAAAAAAAATCTGTGTAAAACATGTACATCTTATCATTTAGATTGATTACTTGGTTAAATAAGAGGAACTCAATGGAAAAAAAAAGGCACTGATTTTTAGCCATAAAGTTATTATCTGGGCATATTTGAGATACAACAGTACAGAAGCAGTTTTCTAAACTTTTATGCCTTACATTTGTTTAGTTCTTTAGAGTCCCCAGAGTCTGTTCAAGTCGTTTTTATCCTAGGAAAAAATTCTATCTTCACCCTACTGCTAGGAAAACAGATCTGCCCTCTTTGTGGTAGACAGGTCTGGGTAGGGCTAGGCTGGGCTGGGCTAGTCAGATAATGAATCAATTTGGAGACGCTGCCTCCCAAAAACTGACTTTCCATTTGGACACTGGTTCCGGAATTTTTTCCACCTAATACCACTGCTTTGTTTTAGTAGAAAGGCTACATTTTACATAAAGTTGTATGCTGTATATGCTCTATACCTCCCTATTTTCCCCACATCCAATTTCTCTGCATCCTTTTTAATACACCAATTTAACCATATCATTCCATTACTCACATATCTTCCATTGACTTTGGTCTGTTTATTCACTCATAAAAATGAGTTAATATTTGAAAGTTCTTAGAATAGTGCATGGCACATATTAGGTGCTATATAACAATAAAATATAATTTTTATTAAGAAAAATTCAATTCAAATTGAGCATCTTACTATATACCAAGCAATCTGCTAGAGGTGGTGTATATGGCAGTGAATAAAACAGACATCGCCCCTGCCCTGAGAGTTTACAGGGCTTTCCTAAGTGACTGTGTATGTCTCAGTCATGAAAATTTAGTGCTGAGAGGATCTTGGATCATCTAATTCCATGTTTCCATTTATGGATGAGGAAACTGAAATTTAAGAAGGCAAATGACTTTCAAAATCATACAGCTGGTAAGAGCACAGTCAGTGGTGTGCAGGAGCCAGGACACTACAGGATTTAACCAAATTGAAACCAGTGTTGCTAAAACCCCCTGTCCACTGTTCTTCAATCCAACCCACAACTCCCTTGTTCAGGTTCTGTGTCCCATAGACACAGAATTTTTTGTGGGTGTTTCTCATTGCCTATAAATCAAGTCCAAGGGGTACGTGTTTGTTGGGTTTTTTTGTTTTGTTTTGGTTTGGTTTTTTGCAGTACGCGGGCCCCTCACTGTTGTGGCCTCTCCCGTTGCAGAGCACAGGCTCCGGACGCGCAGGCTCAGCGGCCATGGCTCACGGGCCCAGCCGCTCCGCGGCATGTGGGATCTTCCCTGACTGGGGCACAAACCCACGTCCCCTGCATCGGCAGGCGGACTCTCAACCACTGTGCCACCAGGGAAGCGCTAGACTGAATTTTTATGAGTTCAAATGTTTTACTTCACAGTACCATAACAATGATAACTGCTATTTATATTAGCTCTTTGTAGATCTATAGAGGACTTTAACTGATAAATTAGATTTTGTAGATTAGATGTCAAAATCTAATCTATGAAAGCCACATTAATATCATAAGCCAATCATTCAATGAGTGAAGGTTTGGGGACGGATTATTTGAAACGATGACATTAAGAAACAAAAACTTCAAGGATTATATGCAACTCAAATCCCAAGTAGCAAGGGGAAAGTGGATTAACTGTTGGTGTTTTCTGTACCATGGTTTGACAGTCCTCTAACTCAGTTTTTGTAAATCTCCCTTGGTGTTCACATTTGCAGGAATTCAATCAACATTTACCACCTTGTACCATTTTTCAGGATCATAGTCCGGAAAAAATTCTGGACCATGCCAGAAGCCAACAAAGTACTCCAGTGACCAGAAATCTGTGGTGGAAGCGAGTCTCTTGCACTTTTCCACTCCTGCGTTTTTTCAACCCAATCCTACGCTTTTCTTTCCAGCTCCGACACACCCTCAGGACTGTACCAAAGGCACATCCCAAAAGAGTAGGCATCTTAATTGCCTTACACAGGCCAAAGAAGAAATACATTGGTTCTGTGGCTCTTCTCCAAGGCACTGTCACCTCACACTTCTAGAGCTTTAGGATTTACCTGGAGGGTTCATGGCAAAAGTGGAATTCCACTTCCACTCTCAAGGAAGAGGTGGCACGAGCCTTCCCTCTTAAAATTTTTATCTTGAAATGTCCAATGTGGCAGTGAAAGGCGGACCCTGGCGAAAAAGAAATCTTATTATTATTATTATTACAAAAAAATCTTAGCCCCGCTCCACACCCTGAACCCCAATTTCATCACCCCAGGCCTCGGGACTCTCCGACCTCGAGGTGTGACCAACGCCACGGACTACAGAACAGAGAATTCTGGGGGAAGGAAGTGACGACACGGCGCAAAGCACGCTGGACTCCGGCAGGCTCGGCTCAAGAGACTCCTTCCTTCCAACGCGGCTGCTGAGGACCTGGCGGTGCTAGGAGATTTAACTGGTATTTTTCTCATTTGTCAGGATTACACGTTAAGTATTACCTGGCTTGAGTACAGCTCAAAGTATCATGCGGCTTCGGGTTACGCCAGGGCATCAGCTCTAGAGCCTTAGCTGCTGCCCCTTCGTTTACGCATCCTCCAAACAAATTTTAAGATGAAAAGTGTCACAGATCCGGGGGCCTCTCCCTGGCGGGATCCAGCGGAGACGCAGAGCCAGAGAGGGAGTGGGTGGATATCAGAGGAGTTTTCTTTTTCATTTTTGGCTAAGAGTCGTGTGGCGTGAGCTCCTTTGATGGAAGGAGAGCAGAGTTCAAGGATTTGAGCATCTGCAGACTGGAGATCAAAGCCAGCGTGAAGGCGATCTGGAATGGGATTGGGAGGTGAAATAGGGGTGTGCCAGATAAGTTACCCCAGACCGGGACCCGCGGCAACTCGATGTCCCCGTGGCTTTCAGACTGAATAGTAAAATTTAACTGTCTTTCTGATATGGAACTTGAGGCAAATTGCAGGTGTTCTCTACCTCTAGAATGGAGATTGGAGTAAGACATTTGCCTGGGTGGAACATATATATTAATCCGAACTGGTGGTTGTTTTAGATCTAGCCAGCTGGCAACCATGAATGAATGGATGAAGAAAGGCCCCTTAGAATGGCAAGATTACACTTACAAAGAAGTCAGAGTGACAGCCAGTGAGAAGGAGTATAAAGGATGGGTTTTAACCATAGACCCAGTCTCTACCAAGTGAGTATGGGTCCTGCTTCCCAGATATCACCCCTTTGCACTGTTACATCCATACTAAGAAAGCGGATAAATGAAAGGCTAATTATTCCCACATAAGAATTTAATTTCCTTTGAAGCTAAGTATTGTTCTAATTATAGATTTGTGTCAGACCAACCAAGTTCGTAGAACTGGGACACTCCTTTTATATTACATTTTATTGGAAAATTTCAAATATACACAAATGTGAAGAGTAGTATAATGAACACTAATCTTATTCCCCCTTCCAAATATTTTAAAGCCAATTACAGACATAATTTTGTTCATAAATCCTTCAATATATCTCTTAGCAGATTCGGACTCTCTAATAAATGTAACCACAATACCATTATAACACCTAGCAAAAGTACTAATAACTTTAATATTAGCTAATTCCTAGTTTGAGTTCAGATTTTCCTGTTTGTCTCCAATGTATCTTTTTAAGCATATCAATTTGTTGATATGTCTCTGAAGAATCTTAATCTATAACTGTACTTTCTCTCTCTTTGGTTTTCCATGTCATTTATTTGTTGAAGAAATGGAATCATTTGTCTATAGAATTCAACACACTCTGGATTTAGCTCATTGCATTTATCATGGCATAGTTTAACATGTTCTTTTATCCTTTGTATTTCCTATAAACTGGTATTCATAACTAGAGGTTTGATTAGGATCAGATTTATTTTTTGCAAGGCAACTTTAAAGGTGGTGATCCACACACTTTATTTTGGAATGATTTTAGATTTACAGAAAAATTGCAAAGAAAGTACAGAGAGTACCTATATACCCAGCTTCCCCTAATGTTAACAGTTTACACAACTGTCAAACATTTGTCGGAATTAAAAATTTACACTCACTAAACTACAATCATTTGGATTTTATCAGTTTTTCCACTAATGGCCTTTTTCTGTTCTGGAATCCAGTCCAAGGTCCTACATTACATTTAGGCATCCTGTCTCCTTAGTCTTTTCTGATATGTGACAGTTTTTCAGTCTTTACTTGTTTTTCATGACCCTGACACTTTTGAAGTGTCCTGGTGAGGTATTTTATAGAATGTCTCTTAGTTTGGGTTTGTGTGATGACTTCTTTTTTTTTTTTTTTTTTTGGCTGCGTCGTATGGCTTGCGGGATCTTAGTTCCCTAACGAGGGAATGCATGCGGGCCCTCGGCAGTGAAAGTGCAGAGTCCTAACCACTGGCCTGCCAGGAAATTCCCTGTGATGTTTTCTCATAGACTGGGGTTATAGGTTTTTGGAAAAAGTACCACAGAAATGAAATTCACATCACGTCACATTGCATCACATCATGTCATACAGCATATCATATCATATTTTAGTTAGGATTTTTCCATTTGTATTCATGAGTGAGATTAGCTTATAGTTTTATTTTTTAATCCTGGTCTTCTCTGCTTTTGGTCTCAAGGTTATATTAGCCTCATTAAATGAGTTAAGGCATAGTCTCCCTTTTATAGTCCATAGGAGAATTTGGTTGGATTAGAAATGTTTGGTCCTTGAAAATTTTATAGAACTTCCTGGTAAAATTGTCTGGGCCTTTTTTTCCCCCTCCATGGGAAGATTTTAAACTGGTTATTTCAGGTTTTTTTAAAAAGATTATAGGACTATTTACATTCTCTCTCTCTCTTTTTTTTTTTTGAGTCAGTAGTAGAAATTTATATTTTCTAGGAAGTTTTCTGTTTTCAGTTTCAAAATTATTTTCCTAAATTTGTTCTTAATACTTTATACTATTAATTTTCGCTACCTTATTCCTAATATTATTTATATGTGCCTTCTTTCTCTTTTTATTAATCTTGCCTGAGTTTTGTGAAATTTATATATCCTTTTCAAAGAACCAGCTTTTGGCTTTGATGATCCTCTTATTGACTTTTTAAAATTGAAGTATAGTTGATTTACAATATTGTGTCAATCTCTGCTGTACAACAAGGTGACTCAGTTATACACACATATACATTCTTTTTTATATTCTTTTTCATTATGGTTTATCACAGGATATTGAATATAGTTCCCTGTGCTATACCTTAGGACCTTGTTGTTTATCCATTCTAAATGTAATAGTTTGCATCTACCAACCCCAAACTCCCAGTCCATCCCTGTCCCTCTCCCCCTCTGCCTTGGCAACCACATCTGTTTTTTATGGCTATGAGTCTGTTTCTGTGTTTTTTTGTTTTCCTGTTTGTTTGGGTTTTTTTTGGCCACGCCAGGTGGCTTACGGATCTTAGTTCCCCAGCCAGGGATTGAACCCATGTGCTTGGCAGTGAAAGCACTGAGTCCTAACCACTGGACCACCAGGGAATTCCCTGTTTCTGTGTTGTAGATAGGTTCATTTGTGCCATATTTTAGATTCCACATAAAAGTGATATCATATGGTATTTGTCTTTCTCTTTCTGAACTTCCTTCACTTAGTATGACAGTCTCTAGTTGCATACTCTTTTGTTTTCTCTCTCATTAATTTTGTGCTGTGTTATTTTCTTTGGTCTGCTCTGAAGGAGAGTTATTCGGTTGCTTTTTAACTCCAAAAGTTAAATCTGTACCCTGTCTTCTTTCCTAAAACACATTTAAAGCATTCATAACTCTTTAAGTAATGCTTTAATGACATCCCACAATGATTAGCTTTAGGCTGGACAAAAGCCTTAGATGTTTAGGACCATCAGAGAATTCGTGTTGAACAAGTTAAAACATTTGGTGGTGAGAGGAGTAATTTAAAACGGGGAAGAGCGTTCCCTGTTGTTCTAGTGACCTGTTGGGGGTTGATGCTGACTCTCATTTCACTGCTTCTTCCATAGTTTTATAGGCCTTTTGGTTTTTCTTTTGCAACTGTGCTCTGAACTTACTTTTCCTCCAAAGTATTGTCCTTGTGAACTTCCTTGAAGATGGCAGCATGTCTGTGACCGGAATTATGGGACATGCTGTGCAGTCTGTTGAAATTTTGAATGAAGGGGACCATAGCGTGAGAGAGAAGCTGATGGATTTGTTCATGTCTGGAGACTGTAAGGCGTACAGCCCTGAGGATCTGGAAAAGAGAAAGAACAGCCTGAAGAAATGGCTGGAGAAGAACCACATCCCCATCACTGAAGAGGGAGATTCACGAAGGACTCTCTGTGTGGCTGGGGTCTTGACTATAGATCCACCGTATGGTCCAGAAAATTGCAACAGTTCTAATGAAATTATTTTGTCCCGTGTTCAGGATCTTATTCAAGGACACCTTGCAGCTTCTCAGTGAGAGGCCAAGAACTATGGATGCACTGATTGAAATAAGACTTCATTTTTTGAAAATTCTTTGTTGTTTTTGGTAAAATCAAAGATGGGGATTATCAGTGCTAATAAGTGAACTGGGCAAGGATGACATCACAAACAAATAAAATTAACATAGGGACATCAGAATTATAAGAGCCTTTCCTTTTGATGGGGATACACCTCCATTTCTTTTTTTTTTTTTGCGGTACGCGGGCCTCTCACTGTTGTGGCCTCTCCTGTTGCAGAGCACAGGCTCCGGACGCGCAGGCTCAGTGGTCATGGCTCACGGGCCCAGCCACTCCGCGGCATGTGGGATCTTCCCAGACAGGGGCATGAACCCGTGTCCCCTGCATCGGCAGGCAGACTCTCAACCGCTGCGCCACCAGGGAAGCCCACACCTCCATTTCTGTTAGGCAAGAAATGTATGTGAAAAAGATGCAACATGTTAGATTCAATATAAATGCTAAGGTAAAATCACAGTCTTGTTACATCCCTTGTACTAACTAGATGTGTCTGTTTTAAAACGTTTATTTAAAAAAATTTTTTGGTGTAATGATGTAATAGCATTTGAATCAGAATATATGCTTTTTTTGGTTGAAACTTGAACGTTTTGGTAAAATCTTAACACATAAACCTTATAAACTGTCAAAGCCTTAAAAAGTGAGCACTGGCTGATATCTCTGAGGAAAGAGGTAAGTGTGACAGGTATTCTGCTGCTGAGCTCAACCCAGTTCTTTTGCCTGATGGGTTCAGCCCAGGCTTCTGGGTCACAGTGCTTTCTTCCTACAGTCTCTACTCCCCTTGTCAGGCTTCACTGAGGGGAGACAGTGCAGGAAGTACACTTAACTACATCTGATTCTACCCCTTGGAAGCCAGTCAGGGAGGTTTCTGGCCTACAAAAGCACCTCAGATTGTTAGTTTAGGGGTTGTATGGTCAGGCCACTCAAGATGGCTGTTCTCTTGCTCTTGGCGTGACCAGTCCCTCCTGCGCCTACACCCCACTCACGTGAATGTGCGTGCCCCCTGCCCCAGCCAGTGATTGTTATAGTCCTTAGGCCAGAACAGCTCCACCTGCTAGTTTATTAAAGGGAAACACCTGCCCCCATGATGATAGTTAACCTGAGGGGCTGTAAGGGTTGGGTCTCATCTGCTGGTTTCCCCGGTAACTGATGAGCCACCCTGACGTCAGTTCCCCCTGTAAAAGGTAGCTTCCTGCTCCTCCCAGTAGTGAAGGCTGCTGCGTCTCGCTTGCGGTGTGCCCCGCACGGTGGAGGTGTTTCTCCAGGACCTTGCTTCGGACGTGTAAGGTGCCCTGTCCAATAAGCTGGCGCTGTCACTGGGCTCTTTCTTCGGCCTCAAGGCTGGTCATCCACAAGGCTTGCAGACCTGTGAGGTGCAGCCCAACAATTCACAAGCCAGCCAGGAGGCCTAGGGAACTCCCGTGAGTGCCAAGATGTAGCGAAGGAAGGACGGGGACGGAAAGTTGCGGGAGGCAGTGGGGAGTCGCGGGGAGAGCCCAAGGTGGCCGCCCACTAACATGTGGAGCCCTGTGGCAGCTGACTACCATGAAAGGTGTTTTTTCTCTTCCATTGTACTGATGATATCC